TGAAAACATCGTCAGTTGAAGAAGGATTGTGTTTGTGTCCCAAGCTTGCGGGCATGGGCATAGGGTGTGAAATTAGTATATTTACTGTGTGGAAAAGTATAACATGGACAAAACACGAGATACTCCACTTGAGAAAGATCCAAACACCGGCAATGTATATACACAGTCTAGCTTGTGTCGTGTTTTATGTGTCATAAGCAACAAGTTAAATGTGTGCTATTCGAAGGGTGATTCAGAATTTTCATTGGTAATAAATGTGACATCAAAAAGGAAAAAAAGATTAGATAAAAACATTATACACTCTCCTGTCCTTAATATACGTATTTTGATTTGTCCTAGATTTCACCTAGTATGTATTTTTACTTGACAAAAAAATCTTTAAAATATATTTTCATATTGATTGTTATAAAATATTTTTAAGGTTTTTTTGTCAATTATAAAAATAAGTAGGTGAAATCTAGGAAAAGTCAAAATACCTTATATTAAGGACCGGATGGAGTAGATTCGAAGGATTTGGATCCATGCTACAAAAAGCCGGTGGTTCACCAGGAGCACGAAGTGTATCGAGTGTCCAGGACCTTTTAAGACTGATCAAAATGACGCAATATACATACTTTTGAGTTTTCAGAAAATGTAAATTAAAAGGCGGTTTTCAAATCTACACACATGAGGTAAAGAGTATTTCAGGGAAAGGGTTTTCCACGTCTCCTGATCATTGAGGTTTACCTATAGTTGCAATGATAAACAATCAAGATGGTTGGTTCAATGGCTTTTTGTTTTTTTCAAAAAAAAAAATAATAATAATTAGGAACTTATATGTTAGTCAAAGACAATTATGATTGTTGGTAAAATATCATTATTTATCAAAAATAATTTTCTAAAAAATAAAAAATAATAAAAAAATCAAATGCCATAACCTGAGACTGATTGAGTAGCAGGCAAACTCCTGTACGTCAGGAGTTATCGTTGGGCTTGTACTTCTAATTTTCTAGGTGGACATGTATAGTACTATTTTTCCTGAGATAAAATGGGCAAATTATATCATGGACCATGGTCCATCTTGCAATGTGAGCCAAAAGGGGAGGTGTTGCTTACTCTCTTAACTGACAAGTGATATTTTTTTTTATTTTTTATTTTGATAATTATTATCTTGAATCTTATCATTACTAATATTTATCTAATCAGAACAGTTAAATATTCTCTCTCATCATCTTGGTGCCCTTCAAATTTCCGATTTAAAATTCGAACAAACCCACTTTCTCAGCCACCTCCACCACGATTAACACCGTCCACCCTTATAAATATCAAAATTCGAACAAACCCACCTACTAATCCATTCTTCATTTTTTCATTCTCTTCTATGACTCTTCCATCAAATATTGACCTATTACAATTAATAAAAAAATAAAGTTATAAACATAAAAACACACACACACACACATATATATATATATATATGTATATATGAATACTATCCATATGTAGTATAAACATATAATTGCCAATGAAAGTTAGATTTAGTTTAATCATATGAACATGAAACCTATTGTGTATGAACATTGAACAAATAATGAATGAACATATTAAGAAAAATGCACATATTTCTTTTCATAGCCTCAAAACATATATATATATATATATATATATATTAAAAATCAAACCTTTTCTTTCCATTAATAATTGGTTTCGATTCATAGATTTAACAATCACCGCTGCAATAGCATTCACAACAATTTGTCAGTATAATTGTCTTAGATTAAAATGCAAGTCTGTACTCAAGAAATTATCAAATTCATTAGTAAAAAAATAATGTACTTTCATGTATAAAGTCTATATTGTTGCAACAAAACTATGAATCGATGAACTTTAGCTATTTGATTAATCATATGAATATTTTAGCATTATTAGATGAATTTTTGCTATTTAATTAATCATATGAACATCCAAATATATAATTCAAACAAAATGCATAATTAGCTACCTAGCTAAACTAAAAAATAAATAATGATCCTTCCAAAATTGAGTGAGAAAAAATAAATAGGAACCAAAAATAAATGATACCAGAACTAGAAATAATAAATAACTAAATATAAAAAATATCTTATTATTGTATAAATTTTTATGCGCGGCTAAAAAACCACCCTATTTCATTATAATAAAACAAAACATTAGGAATTAGGAATTGAAAAAACCAGTGTCAACAAAAATATTAGGAATTAGGGCATCATGTATAATCTTTAACAAAAATGCTTATAAACAAAAACATTAAATATAATTTGCAAAAACAATTCTAAGGTTAATGGATCCCTAAGACCCTAAACATTAAATAGCATTGATATTCAAATGTTTTGATCCTAAATAGAAAAAGAAGGGAAAAAAAAAAAACAATACAAACCTTTTCTCCATGGTAAAGGAATTCCGACGCCGTAGAGCTAAGAATCGCCACTGAAATCTTTTCCACTATTAACTCAAGGTGTATAATGAATTAAGAGTTAAAATTTTGTTTCTTTGTTCATCAGCTATTGGCAGCGTAGAGTAGAATGATTTCATGAAATTTAGATGAGGTTTATCCTACATGGTGTACATGGACCATGGTCTATAATATAACATTGGACAAAATGAGTACTGTATATTGTACTGCTTTAAGGATAAAACGGGAATTTTCATTCTCAATGATTGTAAATCGTTCACCTACAATCAAATAAATGGAATCGGCGTAAATACCAATAACATGGTAGATATAATAATCATTACTACAATTATTCGCTAAATCGGTCAATTGACTCAATTCATAGATATAGGATTCCAGAAATATCTGACGAAAATGCTCGTATTCAAGTGATGAACTGTTCCATAATTGGTTCCGAATCAATTGACCAGCTTTGGAGACTATGAGTTAGTTCTGAGTGTAAGCTTTTTGTAAGATCTTCTTAACTTTCCTTTTTTTTTTTTTAAGGCTTTTACAAAATCCCAAATCCTAATATTTTCTTCATTAATTTCAAGTTTTCTCAAAAGTAGAAATACACTTGATCAAGAAAAACAATCCAAGCGGAGCTTGGGGATGGAAGGGTGCGGTCTCACCTGCTCAATTTTTTCTAATTTAATAAAGATATCATAAATTTTTAATAGAAAACTATAAGTTCATAATTTTTTGCACCCTCTTCGTTGATTTCCTAGTTTATTGGTAGTTGTTTTCTAAATTTTGCATCCCCTATATGTATTTTCTGGCTCCCAACCATACGAAAATTCATATATGTAGTTATTTGATTAGAAAATTATTATGTACTCCTAGCTAATACGTACCATTTCGCTCCAACTGAGTTGAAATTCAAAGAATACCTGATTAAGCGACAAAGCTTCAATTGTATAAATGGCGAGATTTGAACTCAATATCACAGCCCTTAACTCGTAAGCACGATGAACTAGTAAAATAAGTCAGATTTCTAACTCGAAAGAAAAGTGCACATTTCTCTCTTCTAATACCTGAACATATATAATCTTAAGTACACTTCACACCAAGAGTTTACATCCATTGTAATATGCTTATCTACAGTACTCAAAAGTTTTCTCTCTAGACCTTTAAATCTAATTCAAGAAACAGATCCTTCATTATTCAAGTATACACAATTTCAGCTCAGTCATTTTTATAGTGTGAAACACCATCAAACTCAAATCTATGTCCATCAACATCATTACTCCAAAATATATTAGAAGTGATAATAGAAGAAAGAAACCTTTGTTTCTTTTCATGATCCAGAATCACACGATATAAAATCTAAGGAAAGGAGGAAATTTGGAAAGCTATATATAGTCTCTTGACGATTTGTAGCTCCATGATTAATGGAAGATTCAAGAATCATAGTAGGTATCCATGAATTTGCTCTTGATCCACTTGAAGCTGTTCCTGAAAGATGACTTGAGCTTGCCTTCCACAGTATACATATTGTAAGCTGCAATTCTTTTCCTCCTCTTCACTTCTGGATTATCACCAGGGCCATTGAAGCTGTATGATTTGGTTCTATCTTCGAAATCGAACCGGGCTTCCGCATATGAAGATGAATAATATGGGAATGATTTACTTTTCTCCATCATATAATAATTATGAAAACCGAGAGAAGGAAGTATTTATTGAAGAAAGGATGCATCTAAAAGCTTTGCTATCTAGATTTCATTAATAGGGTAGTTTAAATGGAGAGGAAAAGGAGACATTGTATGGAGTATGGAGCCCATGCAAAAGCAAATTTGTGTCTATAATGCGGTCTCCATGGGCCATGATTGCGACTGCGATTTGAAAAGTAAGAAGATTTCTATGAATATTCGGTGTATGGCTGCTACATAACAATTCGGATCGATTCATATTTCCGAACAATTTAACAGTTTTGTTGATTATCTGATAACAAATTAAGATACGATGACCTTAATTTGAGAAATAATAACACGTATATAGAACTTACTTATCTAGTTTTACAGCTCAAAACTCTCATTTGTTACTTTTCTTCTCTCTTTTTATGTATAACACTCAATTAGGATCATAAGAACTATTATAAGAATCAACGGGACATGCGTCGTGAAGTGATATAAAGAGACCTAACTAAGTGTTAGGTGACGATGACTCATTTGTTTAGGTTTTGTGGGTCGAGAAATCACAATCACTAACCAGCAAAGAAGGTGGAGTTGAATCAACAGACACAGACAATTGAATTGAATTGCCCCTAAGAGACTAGACTCCATTAATGCGTGCGCCGTTACATCTCCATTGTGCTTCAAAATTTGTGGGGATCTCCTGTTTTTCTTTTTCCCAATTCCTAAAACGACTTGCACGTCCATAATGATCACTTCCACTATTTTATTTATTTATTTATTTATTTTGTGATAAAATAAATAAGGTTTGATGTCATTCACGTCTTATGACTTTATCTAGTGTGATGACTACTTTTCCTTTATAAAAATTTTTTATACAAAATATCGATCTACTTTAAAGATTAAAGTGGAAAATTTGACGGCAAAAAGCTTTTATAACGATAATCATGACTCTTAACAATGTTCAAAAATCATTAAACCCTCAACTTTAAAGGTTGATGGATATTATATGATAATAATGTTTGGTATCAGTACATACAACTTTTCTTTTTCAACATTAAATAAAGGGAACATGAGCATGCAACATTTACAGATAATATACAAGCAAAAAGGTCGAATCGTTTGTTTTAAGTAGTTTTTTGAGTGAAGATATCAGCTCCATCCTCCACATCATCAGTAAGCATATTGCCACATTGAGCCATTAGTATTCTATAAACTCTCTTGGAACATACTTCACCTAACCTTCTGTCAACCCCAAGCAAGCCTTCCGTAGGCAAATCCTTGAGTAGAAATTCTTTCTCATGCACCTGTGAAAAGTTTAAACAAATTCAGGGTTCTTCAAATCTGACAAAGGAAAAGAAGAGATAAAGGCTAATGAAACAGTGAAGGCTACCAGTCCAGAAGTAATGGCTAGTAAAAGGGAAAAAGATGGAAGACAGGTGTCAGACATAAAATATCATAATCAAGTTCAAAATGTTAATCTTTCTAAATGATTGAAGAACTGAAACAATAAACAGACACGGGAAAATCTTTAAAGATACTCAACTATGTGATTTTATGGTTATTCGATAAAATATGCTGTATTGGCTTCATGAGTTTTGTCCAAAGCAGTGAGAGTAGCAATTAGTATGCCAGGATGAAGTATCCTAGTTCTCCACATATCATTCTGTATCAATCTTCAACAGACAAACAACTTTAAAAGTTTGCAAGGAGCTTAACTACAGATAAGAGGAGCATAACTTGACCGAAGACACTAAGTATATACTACAACGTTTACTTTACATCATACTTCAATCAGTAACTCCGATTTGTCTCAACCAAAAAGTCATGATGTAGTCTAATACATAATTTTAAAAGGCATGACTTCAGCATGGAAACTTCAGAAAAGGCACAACGTATGTAGGTGGCAATTTCATAAGATAAAAAGAGATGGCTTCTGTACTCACTGATTTACTTGGATCCATGTAAACATTCAGAAGAGATCTCATTGTAGGATACTTCTTCGATATGGCAATGGCAAATCGTGGTTGTACCTTTGGAATTGCTATCAGCGCTTTCAACCTGAACTCAAAGGCATGAATGCAAACAGCCAATTTTAGTTATGCAGCAAAATAACAGAGATTGTCAAGCAGAAAAATTTGTATTACAAACGTCATAATAACCATTTCCATATTAAAAGCATCTATAGCTGCAAGACAGGTGAAAGGTAGTCTTCAGGTTTTCTTTTTATCAATATAGCAACAATGAAACTGGGGCATGCTTCATTAAATTCAAACATTCCCGACTATCCACCATTCTCAGTGGAGGAAATAAAAACTTAAACAAATCATGACACACTGGGCATCGATCCACTAAATTTCACATCTTTCTCTGGTCTGATTCCAAGCAATCTTAATAAGGCTTCCCCTGTCATACTTTCAGGCAACTAACACTTAGATGCTACAGCTGCCTTCCGATTTCTCTAAATATAGATAATATAAATATTTTAAAGTATTTACCCCCAGTTGTGCCCGGACAAGATGTCACGTAATAAGTAACATCATACATATCACAAAAGTAATGTTTACAAGCACTGAAATTACTCTTTATTTACTGGAAAAGCAATCATAAGAAGTACTTTATTCGTAGTTTGACCGATAATGAGGACACATAGCAGAGTTACTAAAGTGTAGAAAGGGTGAGACACAGAAGATACTAAGATTTGAAAAAAATAAGAAAAACAAAGTAGTTTAAGCCTAACACAAATGCATTTCCACATAACATAATGATAAGATAAAATCCATACAGCTCACCAAAATAGTGGGATGAAAGCGTCATGGAGGGTGTTGTGTTGTTGACAGTGCAAAGTGTATAGGCTAGTGAAGTGGAAGTGTCAAAGTGTCATTAACCCAATAAACTTGATCCCGTTAACAAGCCGAGAACAGGAAATGCCCCACGATGAACTTTTTTTCTTCATCATGACTTTTTACATTCAACCATCTTTCAGTGACGTAACTTTTATCACGCTGATAATGAGATTATGTCTATAGGCAATGGGATCACAAAAATAAAGAAAACATGAGATACCAACATTAAGAAAGATTTGATTTATAATTTTTACACAAAAGCTTCTCATACAATCGGTTAAGTTGGTAATTACACTCATTCAATTAGAGAGGCCAAAAACTAGACTGAAGAGAGTGATCCAATAACTCTCTCGAGGTTCTTGGTATGTAATCACAAAATGGTTGATTTTTTTCAAGCAAGTTTGCAAAAGGGGAGAAAAAGGCACGACCAGCTTCACAAAACATAACATAGATATGGTTCTGGTGAAAGAGTAATGTTGCAATGGAAAAGAAAACAAAAAAGAGAGAGAGAGAGAGAGAGAGAGAGAGAGAGAGAGAGAGAGAGAGAGGAAAAGCAACTGAAAGGCAAGAAAGTAGAAATCCTTAAGATGATCAACCTAAACTAAAGATCCAAAGTTCAGAATTGCATAAAATTGAAGGATATACTCGTTACTATTCCATTCTCTAAGTATCAGAGTATCACCTTCAATGGAAAAGAACATTTTCATGGGAACAATACAAGATAAATTAAAATTCCATTTTCCTTTGTATTTTGTTCCTCTGTACATATACTGAATTCAGGTGAACTAGTGGTACATTAATAAACTGAATGGAAGATACTTAAACAAAGCCAATGTCTGTCCAGTAAATGAAATAGATCCTGTTCTGTAGTCAAAATATGGGTGCAATGTTAATTCTAATGATCAAGAACTACTTCATCAAACAAGCCAGATTTGCTTACGATAAAAAAAAAATACAGAATAGAATACAAATAAAACGCAAACTTTCTTTGTAAACTACTCACAATCTAACCAGCCAAGTAAAACTGTAACACACTTTTTCTCCAAAAAAAAAAAAAAACAAAAACCTGTAACACACTTAAAAATTCATAAGAAATTGCAGAATAGGATACAAGTAAAGGCAAACTTCATAATCACGTGCTAACTTTCAAACTTGCATTATACTTTAGTAAGTAGTTCAAAAAAACCAACCAGATATCCTTCTTTATGAGATCTCGATCTGCACAGTCCCTTGGTACAAGTGAGCCATTTGCATTCACAGATAATGGCGTCAGCTTCTTTCTGAAATATGAAACGCACATAAACATTTAGAAAAAGTATGCACGATAGCATAACCAATGATACGAAAAAGCAAGCCATTTGCTATCACAGACAATGGTGTCAGCTTCTTTCTGAAATGTGAAAAGCACATAAACATTTGGAAAAGGTATGCATCATATCATAACCAATGAGAAAAGGTCAGCCAATACATCTGTAATATAAAATTTATAATACGAATATCAAAACAGGACTATGCCTACAAGGCTGAAAATGAAATCCTGAACATGTTGAAAATGAGATATTCGTATTACTATCCGGATAACTCCATTATGTAACTACATGAACAATATTCAACTTTATGCACAATCATACTAAAGACAGAAACAAATTATCTCAGACCTATATTGGCAAGAAGCAAGGCTCTGCGTCAAGCTGACAACATGTTCAGCTAATTCAGCTTCATCAGTACAGAGCCTAGAATGCACCCCAACATAATGAGTGGCTAATTTTGCTATGATCTGTAAATCAATAACACAGAAAAAAATAAAGTTAAGGCCAAAAACTTAGCATGAGTTGTCATACAATTGTTACTAAAACTACTATCAAAACAATCTTCACTGAAATATCTAGTGAAAAGACTGGTCCAACTACCTCCTCTATTGGCGGGCGCGCCCAACCATCATCTTTGCCAGGATTCTTATACTGACTTTGTTCCCTGCAACAGCAACATCATCTAGCAGATTAAGCGCGAGAGTTGACAAAAAGACAACTAAGTTTGAATGTATTCCACCAACTGAAAACAGAAGCAGCTCAACCCAATCCATCAACAGGTAAATTATACAATTAAAAAAACCCCCAAGAAGAGTACCAAAGATGCAAGCAAAAAACTACACATCACAAGAAGCCAACATGATTTCGCTACATGTATCTCACCATTATGCAACAACAAAATCCTACACATGTATTACACACAGTTGAATCATATTGATATTAACAAACACATTTGAGCTCCTATTACAGATTTGTGCACATAATTTTAAGGTCAGTAAGATGCGAATGTCATTGGCACAGTCTGAAAACCAGAAGTTCTTAGTTCTTTGACCATAAAATATAGCCAAAGTAAAGGTGAAGCCCTTGGCACAGCATCAAAATACACAAAAGGTGTACACATTTTGTAAATTAACCCCATACAGCAAATGACCTGATGTATTCTTCTATTGATATCACTTAAGTAGTTAACCCCAGTTATCTCATCCAATAGAGCGAATAAACGTCATACTACCTCAACCTTCATGCATTAGAGAAAAAACTGACACAAACTTACGCAGGATAGAATGAGAGGACATCATTTGCATGAGAGAGAGAGAGAGAGGGAGGGAGGGAGGGAGAGACGTTGATGACAATGAGCAGCCAGAAGGTCAAAATAAAGTGAAGCCCCACTAAAAGGTTATACTACATAAAAGTTCATACTATAAGTTTAGGGTGCTTTTTTTTTTTGTTTTGTTTTTTGTTGGGGTGCTTCATTCGTTGAACTGAAAGGTTACAAAAGATGTAGTTTTTCGTGGTTACAAGGTTTTCTCGTTCCAGTCATCGCTCCAACAGTCATGAACAAGCTTTCAAGGCTTTATCTTTTTCTAACAATACAAACAAAATTAAAGATAAAGCATAGACACCAGACTTTCAAGAAAAGACATTAAAAGAAAGATGAAAGCAGAACATGTACGTCAGACTCACATTATGAAATTGCACTAGTAAAGACAAGATAACACAAACAAAGAGTACCAGTTACCTTTTGTTGACATAGGCCATCAGCCTGTTCACTAGAAAACAAATTGTATGGTTGGGATATTGATGTTGAACCTCAGAAACTAGTCCAGAAAGTGCTCCACTTGTGATAATGTTGCAGAACTCTTCAGCCCCATATATCAATAACACATACAGTATTACATTTCGCTCGGAAGAGATCTGCAACCATACTGAAAGGTCAAAATCTTTCAAAATACAGATTGGTAAAGAAAACAACCTAAATACATAAAAGCAAGAGGTAAGACCATGAAAACGTTCAGAGCATATTAGTTTCCAGGGTATCACTTGAAGACAAAGCAAGCAAAAGAACTGCTCAGCACAATCACAATTAACCCAAAGCTTCAAGCCCCTCAAAATGTCACTTTCTTTAACTCCTGAAAGCTGCTACCGTTCTATTTGAAAACCCAAGAAAGAAAACAGAGAAGGGGGGAAAAAAGAAGAGACAACTGAACCACAATGCTGTTATCAGAAACATCAGTTAGACTTTCTATGGAAAATAATAATCTCTTGACAGAAAAGCCCAGCCAAACTGCAATTATGTCCTTCATAATTATTTTTATTAAAGGAAATAATCCAGCTACAGTTAGTCTAAGTGAGTTAAGCACTGGAATGTTCTTGTAAATGGATAAATATTTACATTTCCAGTAGGGAAATGGGCAAGAAAAACTCAATTGAATATCTGCAAAATCTTTTCTTTTTAATTATTCGATCATTTTCTTTTACCAAGTTCCCTGTTAGCCAATAGTCAAAATTTCATGTTTGTAGATGCATATTAATGTGTTATTTACAGTGTTAGACAATTACTGTAGTACACTGGATCAATGTTTGCAATACTTTTCTGCAACACGACATGGTAAGAGGTCTGGAGAAACAGAACAACCGGCACCATAGAGAGGTAGGAGATTGAATTCGCAGGAAATGGGCAAGATAGACATCATCAAAGTAAGAAGAGACAGACGTTTATGTTGACAGCTTTTATTTTCTTGAACTGTATAAGTTGTAAATGAAGAGATATAATTGCGGAAAAAGAACACTGAAAATATCTTTTGGTGCGTTACCTGTGATAATTCTTCTGGAATATTCATAGACCATATGATAGAACTTGCAATTGGATTTGAAGCCACTCGGAATGACAGGCCCTTTTCCCCAAACCTTGTTAACAAATGACCTGAGGAAAAGCAACAGCAGCAATATTGCTTTCGGTACATAAAAAGAACAAAAAATGACCTTTAACCTATTAAGGTAATTAATCATTAGTTAGCACTTACCTCCAACAGATCCCATTTCAACTACTTTATTATCAATATGAGCCACAATGGATTTCTGGGCAAACTTTCCTTTTTCCCACTTCTGCTTTTCTTTTTGTAGTTTCCTCACCTCTGCAGCTTCAGCTTTCTCAGCTGCTTTTCTCAACTTCTCTTGCTGCAGATTGACACTTGATCAGAAGGATCAACAAACTAACCATAATAAACAATGAAACTGCTGCATGATGGTTAGACTCTTTAAGTTTCAGTTCTTTTCTTTCTTTCTTTTTACGAGGCTTTCCTCAACTTTTCTTGCCGTAGATAGCTACAAACTCAGAAATCCATTCGGTATCACAACAGAGTCATGGTACTGAAATATACTTACTTCTCTTTGTAACTTCTTTTCCTCTTTCATTCGAAGTCTTTCTTCCTTTGACATCCTCTCCTTTACCACTGGATCATCTATACCTTTTTCTGAAAACACTTTCTCTTTCCGTTTACATTCTAGATCAGAGACTTTATCCCTGTGAAACGATAAGTCACATTCAACATTTGAAGAAGCATATACCTGAAACATCAATGGTAGCGCAAAGCACATTAGACCAAACAATTTGTGGAATTCAATTAGAGTACAACAAAGTTAAGAAAAGATGAAAAAGGAACTAGATATCAAGCTTGCAAGTTAATTACAAATCAACATCAGAAGAGCAATTTCCTTTCTGAAACGAAAGTAGCAATTCTAGTCCAGTAAAACCTAAAAGTTTGGGAAAATACAGTTTCCTTGCTGGACAAAAAAATTCTAGTCAGTGGCATCTATTCTTGATGGTTAAAACTCAATCTGATTCTTCTGTTTATTTAAATTTCTCTAAATAAATTATCAACAAATATTAGAAGCTTCTCTTCTAGCAGTCCATATCAACTCGCTAAGCAGACTTTTTAAACATCAGAACACATTAGCTCTTATATTTGGCTAGGAAAGTCAGAAATCAATCACCGTCTTTTGGCTGTCCCCATCTGTTGCCATATAAGTTATTTCAGAAAACATCGTGTGCGTTCTTTCCTTTCTGGCATCATGGAGTTCCCCATTTACAATAATAAAAAACTACACCATCTCATGATAATGGTTAATTGCTGTGTGGTTCTCTTTTACATTTTCATTATTTTAAATCTTGGTACAAATTCTGGTAGGCTAAGATGGAAGTGAAGGGACTTCACTAAATAACAAGGAAAAATACAGATCGATCTATTGATCAAGTACTGAATAGTAGCAACAGAAATATATCAAACAAGAATTTGAACTCAATTTGGTACGTAGCAGAATATCCTTTTCCAAAGAACCACAAGGCTACTACGGCAGAATCTCAGGGGAAAAGAAAATTCTTAAACAAAGTCAGCATATAAAAGGATAAATTTCCAAAGCAAAAAACTACAACCAATTCAAGTTCTGGTTCAAAGTTCAGAAGCATCAAGAAGAGAATTGAAGATTTTACAGCTAACAAAGTTAACACCATCGCTAGAAGTAAGACTATGATTTTCTGAAAATTCCCAGCCCTCTTGATTGATTTTCGTAATACAGCTTACCATGTCAAATTCATAATCACTTCCGATAGCCCAAGAAAAGCTAAAGGAAAGTTAATTTTGTTGAATATCAAAATTATTGTGTTATGATTCAATTGTACCACACAAGTAATCTTAAACAACACTTCTTAAGTTTCCATATTCAATATAAAACATCTCTGCTACGAAACCAAAAAATTGGGAATTCTAAAACTTCAAACAATTGTTTAGGGAAATAGTTGAAGATATTTTAGCAGAATAAGAAAAGACTTCTCTTATAACATGAGGCACAAAAAGAAGCTCTGTGGATCCATTTAAACAAACCTGAGATGAATGATGTTCCAATGAACTCGAAAGAGAAGAAGTTTCAGGAATGTTCCTTTGATCATTCTCACCTATTGAAAGCATCCTTCATAATTTAGAGATAGTAAATAAAAGTGGGCCTTCATGTGGATAATGCTACATTCAGTCATGAAGATTCAGATGCCAAAGCCATGCACAAAGTTGAAGATTTATTACTCACCAAAAGACAATGTAGACTCAACAAATTTGGAGTTATATACCAATCCTTTTGAGGCATGAGATGTAAAGAGTGCTCCTTCATCAGATTTGTGACCCTGCGATCCTTTGTCGGACTCACTGTCAGATACCAGATTTATCAATCTATCTGAAATTTTAGAAGAAAAGAAAACCAGAAAGAACATATAGTCAAGTTTGATAAAGACCGGGAATAAATAAAATGCAGCAAAAATAAACAACTCACGTCCTCATTCAATTGGTAAATTGATAACCCAACAAACTTATTCTTCACGAGTTCTCGTAAAGTTTTTGCAATACTTAGGTCGCAAAATGAAAAGAATCTAAATAAATTACTCAAAAAACTGTATACTTGCAAACTTATAAATTAACATACTGCAATTTCATTTAGGTCAATAAACGAACTTGTGATTTGCTCTCACCTGGAGACAAATGACCAGGTAGTAATGGTTGGAAAGTGGGAACGGAACGGTTACATATGATGTTTGGAACTTCCAGGTTTGTCATCTCTGATAATGGCGTCTCTTCGACAACAGATGGTGTCAAGCTGACACCTACAAAAAGAATATTTTTCTTGATCACTCAAATGTCTCAAAAACACTACAAAGATAGTGGACAACAAAAACAACCCCATTTATAAGCTTTTACCATCTGATCACAACCTTAAAAATAGACCCAAATTACAGATACGATGAAAGTTAAATACGGGAAAGTAAAAAGAGCAGCATTCTGTAGTAGTTTCACCGACTGATATTGCAGCCAAAACATGGTTAAACACAAAGCTGCGTGAATTCCATTTAATAACAAGGCCAAGAATTTTTCACAGGAAACAACAATGTCTTAGGGAAGATGATAAGCTAGAAACTGGAGGCCAGAAAAAATGGTCATCCTAGACTCAAATGGCAGTATATATCAATTTTGAATTAATTATTGAATGGTTATAACATCGATGATGAATTAGTCCACATGGAGATTGGCCAATATTTTAAAGGGAGCCTCGGACAGCAGTAAGAGTTGAAGAAATGCGACCTCATGAAGCCTGTTAGGGCTATAAGGTAAGGGCGTATGCAGAAGACATTTTTCCAGCCGTTCCTAGTAAAAGTGCAAGAGGAGCAACCAAGGTTTTATAAAGCCTGTAAGGTTTTTGACATACAGTGACCAAGTGCAGTCAATCATTGGCATTATGGTATACCATTCTATTACTGATTTACCAGCCTGTCCCAACATGATATTGAATGCGATCGTGCTGGCATATGTATAGGCAGTCATGCTTCATGTGATCATGTTCATTGTCTACAAAGTACAAATTGTAAATACTTCATCTACCTCCTAACATTTACTTAAAGCTAAGGAATATAGAATTACAAACCTCACTACGAAGTAAATAGAATTACAAACCTCACTACGAAGTAAATAGCTAAAGGCTGATAAATAATTTGTAAGTCAATTCAGGTAAGATAACCAAGTGGCAAAATCACATCTCACAGCTCCCTGCTATTTCAAAAGAGGCAATGCACAGTCTCTGATCTACAAATGGGAACTAGTACTTCGTCAATTCCAAGAGTACGACAGAACCAATATCAGGGTTATGTAAATTTATGCACAACACTAAAACTAGGAGAATTTATAACATCAAAAACTCACAACCTAGAGAATTCCTTCTTGTTCAATATATGAAATTGGCCTCACCTGGAGACAAATGATCGGATATTAATGGTTGTAAGTCAGGAACGGGGCGGTTACTTCTGATTATTGGAACATGTTTGGACATTTCTGATAATGGTGTCTCTTCAACAACAGATGGTGTCGGGCTAACACCTACAAAAATGCATATTTTCTAAGATTAAACATTTTGATTACTCAAATGTCTCAAAATCAATACACATATCGAGGGCAACCAAAAAAAAAAAAAAAACCAATTGTAACTTTCACCATCTATCTGATCACAACCTTAAAAATAGACCCATATTAAAGCTACGATATCACTCACCAAGAGAACTACCGGAGCATTTGGCAACCGAGACGATACGAGTCGAAAGCGGGGGCGGAGACGGCGTCTCCGTTGAGGGCGTATACGACGTCGCATCGTCGTCGTCGATAACGAGAAGTGGAAAATCAGTACTACCGGAGCTAGGTTTTGAACTGGCAGGGTCTGACAAACGTGGCTTCTTCTTCCTCCTTTTGGACGAACTTGAGTACGGCGTGCAGAGGTCGATGCAAATGGGTTCATCGCGGAAATGCGGGACTGGAGATTTAGGGTCATTATTTCCGGCGACGAGGCGGTTGGCGGCGTCTTCTTCGTCGTCGGAGAGAACGTTCACCGGCACCGGAAGTGGCATGATATACAGATATAGAACACTTTACATAATTGGATTGTTCAGATTCTTCGATAGTAACTGTGAAATCTTTGAATTAGGATTTTGAGCGCGGGGGATATTTCGGGTTCGGCGCGGATATTGCCTTTTATTTTTGTGGGTTACTGTATTATTATTTTTATTTCTTTTTTTGAAATTAGAGTTTTTCGCGCGTGGGAGAAATTTTATAGACTTTGATGAAAAACTCAACTGTCAGAAAATCAAGAGATAAGCGAAGGAGATAAAAGATTCGATAAAAAAAATTAAATATAAATTTTATGTGGTAATTAGAGTAGAGAATGAAGGAGATGAAATGATTATAATAATTAAAATTGATTTTAATGATAGGTGGTAATTAAAGTGAAAGCTTATCAAAACTTTAAAGCTATTATACAATTATACTCCCTCCGGTCTTTAATATTAAGTATTTTGATTTTTTCTAAATTTTATCTAGTACGCATTTTTAATCGACGAAGAAACTTTAAAAATATTTCATAACAAAGAACACAACAAATGTGAAAATATATTTTTATGTTTTTTTTGTCAATTAAAAATGCGTATTAGGTGAAATCTAGGAAAAGTTAAAATGACTTATAATAAGAATCAAATGGAGTAACATAGGTAGAGTAGATAAGAATATGTTATACTCACTCCATTTTGAAATATATATCATTTTAGGGTTTGGTAAATTTTTTTAAATATCTGTTGTTTTCACAAATCGAGGCAAAATTGACCACTTTTTACCAAAATTGCCCTTGCATTGGAAATGAAATAATATTTATAATGAATTTCTATTGGTTTGTGATGAATTGTGTAGACAATTAATACCGGTATTTTTATATTTTAACTAAATGAATTAATGTCTTCTTGGTTTTGATAAATTCTCTAGAAAGACATATAAAAAAAATGAATGGAGTAACATATACATTGTCATGAGCCACACACACCCTACCTTTATTGACTTTACATGAGCCACACGCACCCTACCTCTACTGACTTTACATTTTCTACATATATCTAAACACTCGACTAGTTCTAATCTGTCTTTACACTCAAATACCAAACTAGGACCTTTTCTACTCCTTCCAACATGTTTATGACATTGATATTATCTGTCAAATTTAGACATACGTCCATTTAAATGTGTGGCTAACCTTATTACCTCCCATATTATCATCATCTTAGCCTGTATCGCATCTAACGCTCATGCACCCCTGAGGAAGGCTAAACTTGCTTTGTATAGTGGAACACTCATGCACCCCCTGAGGAAGTACAACATCATGTTCAGTCAGGATGTGGAACGGTCAATGGAGTAACAATTTGAACTAATAAATATGTCCAACCAAAGAGATGTGCTTACGCTATCTTTCTTGGAGTAGAAGTTGTGGAAGTGGCTCTTCCTCTAAATGAGTCTTGAGGTTCCAGTTATAAGTAAACAAACAGAATGCAACTGTTCTAGACTGTTCAATTGAACACAATAATATCTTGTAATTTGTTGTTTAGAGTGATTTTACAAATTTCACGCATAAAGTGATGGAATTAATAGTACAATATTTCTTTTCTTTTCTTTGCCATTTTTGATTGGTTTAGACTACCTTCATGTTTTTAAGTTGTGATAACTCTTTGAGAATCCGCATTCACCTTTTATCGAGATTTGGGCTGCTTAAATATCCATTTTGGGATTGAAATATATGAACAAAGAATGAGCTTGTTTTCTTCACGCTTTGGTACAATTTAATGATTGTTTTTTTGTGCATTCAATGAGATTGTGAGTTATGAATATGAAGATGCTATGCCGAAGCCAGAGATAAGGTATGAGAAATTATTCATCTACGTTTTTCCATTTACTACTGTTGGGATACGTCCATCAAGTTTTGCAAATTCAGTTCAAAATCTTAAATCCTTGTAGAAAGAAGTCCAAACTCTTTAGTCTGTATAGAAAAAGAACTTAGCAATTAGGACTAAGAAACGTCACCAGTGCATGTAATTATTTAGCTTTTCGAATCAGTTTTCTTCTCTAATTGAGTGCTAGGATTTTCAAATTGTCTGATAAATAATACTGATCTCAATTTGATTCTTGTTATTTTTGTAGGCTCTGCTTTTACGAGCTTACAGATATTACACACATTTATCACTGTGCTTAATGTTACCAAGTGAATATATATATGTATATATATATATATTTTTTTTTTCTATTGCATAATTGTATTTATTATTATTCAGGTGTATACCCGAGTAATATCAATTGAACAAGTTTATGAAGTTTGAGAATGACTATGACCTTGAGTATACTTTTTACATTATGTAATTCCTTGTAGTTTGCCCTCAATGCCCCAAAGCTTGTTATTTGGTTCTTAGGGTATGTTTCTAACCAATGTAGGAACTTTAAAATTTAAACGCGATAATTTTTTAATCTTGTCTATCCTATAAAACACGCAATTACTTTCAGAAGTTTCAATTTATTTCAAGAAATTATTATGTTCACCCCTCTCTATTTTTAGCCTCAGGGTGATATTACGTGCTAAGAACTCTACCCTCTGTGTTGAATTGTAAAGCAAGTGCTGGATGATAACTCTTGATAACCATGAAAATATGACGCAATTTAACACAGTCTCACACTGACTCCCATTTGTACTCTCTCATCATCCTTTTTGGCTTTGGAATTCTCAAGTTGTTAGTCCAATTTTAAATTTCCCTTCATTTAGGTGAGGAAGCCAAGCAGTGAAGCCAAATAGGGAAAGGAGAACTTACATTTAGAATCCAATATGACCACTTAGGTCTACGTTGCCACGATATTGCTCTATGGAAGCGGGCAGCTTTAAGTTTGGCCCGGCTTTTTGGCTGTGTTTTCAAAACCGGACCGGCCCGCGCTGTCTAACTGATTAGCTCGGGAATCGGAAGCCTCACCGGTCCGGTTTCTATAAAAAATCGAATTCTGTATAACCCGGTCAAACTCGGTTGCTAGGATGTAATTGAAACGTATGTCTTTTGGAATGTTCATGAGCCAACTAAGGGCAACGTAGGATGCCTTTTTCGAATTTTCGAGATCTTTTCTGAATAATATGTACATTGGCCAAAAGAGAAACGATTTCTATTTATACTCATATAATTGTTGTTTTGCAGTATAGTTTCGAAGGAAGATATGATTAGTGAGGTTCATGAAAACCATACTGAAAGCTGAGTTGTATGCCAATCTCCTTATTGGTCCTTACGTTTATGTGGAATGGAACTTCGGATACCTATTTTCATCCGGATACGTTTAGATCTTTAGACTTCCTAGTGTGTTGCATCTACAGAGGATTTCCAGTTTGGCTGAAGTATGTACTGGGCTTTAGCTGCCTCTTAAAACTGGGTTTTAAAAATCAAATTAGAAAAATTTTTAAATATGAGAAAATTTCTTCTTGGAAAATAAGTTTGAATAAATTATATCTCAATTCTAACAACAATAATGAGCTATTGTTTAATTTCTTATTATTAAACGTTGGGTATTGAAGATAACTAAAATTAGGTAAAAGTGTATTTTTTAAATAGAGTTTTATAGGGTAAAAAGTAATTAGTAAAAAAATTTAAATTTGTACAAAGGGTATAGAAAATTGACAAATAATTTTCAAAATATTTTTGTAGTTTTTAATAATATTTTAATAATTTAATCTGAATATTTTTTGAATTTAATGGAAATTAAGATTCATATGAAAAGATAAAAATAACCCTCGGTGCTATGTGGACAGCCGCTGGCCGAACAGAAAAGGTGCCGAAATAGTGCAATGGGACCAAAAAAGTTATGGACATAAATGCTTGGGACTAATTCCTCCAAATGTTAATGTACGGGATGAAAATATTAATTGCCCAAATGTGTGGGACCAATCTGAGGGCTTACTCGCAAAGATAATAAATAAATAAAAACTATCGCCTTTTTTCTTTCTCTGGATCTAAGCAAAATTTTCTTCGGTTCTAAGCTAATTTTGCAGCCGATGTCTTATTTCTCTCTTCTCGTTTTTCTTTTGTACCATACTCTAGAGAATTTGGAACGACATAGAGAAGAAAGAATTTTCAGAGATGCATGTCATTCAACACAATACAACACTCCCTCTGGTCCTAAATATAAGGCATTTGAATTTTGTATAAAGTTTCACATAATACACATTTTTAATTGAGAAAAAAACTTTAAAAATATGTTTTCTCCTTTGTTGTATTCTCTTCATTGTTATGAAACATTTTAATAGTTTTTTTTTCAATTAAAAATACGTATTAGGTTAAACCTAGGGCAAATCACCTTATATTAAGGACCAGAGGGACGTAGTACAATAAAATACAATACTCTATAGACGATAATGACCATACTTTTCTTCGCAAATTTGCAAAAAAGCTCCTCCACTATCAAATATGGCTAACTATTCCAGTTCGAGTAGTCACGACTAGGGGTGTTCACGGTCTGATTCAAACCAGTCAATTTGAATCGCGTTCCGATTGGCACCAAATCAATATGTGCGCTACTCACTGTAAAAGGCACCACATTTCCAAGTTCCAAATCATATACACTTAATTGCTGATGGTTCTAAGCTATATAGGATATGTGGAGAATCTCGGAGTGAGGATTAAGCGAAGCTATGACCCTAGTGAAGAAGGTGAAGCAAAAAGGTGACTAAGCTATCCTTGCAATGACTAATCAAAACCTAATTGGGGCATTGGACAAGTTTAGGAGATTTAGTTGATGACTAACCATATTAAATGCCTAAACAAATAGCTGAAGTACTTAGGTGAAGTAAATAGGTTAGTCAACTATCATCTGAATGAGTCAGCGAGTCTAACATTTAGGCGATGATACATATAGCTGAAGTACGTAGGTGAAACAAGATGGTTATTTATGAATCTAATATGAATAAGAAATTCTACTAGGACATGTGGCAAATCAAGGAAAGCTTAGACTAGTGACTAATAGAAGCTAGTTTGATGAAGTATAAAGGTGAAACAAGGAGGTGAAAAATGACTATAAATAGGGGGAAATGGGAACTTGTTCAAAACACACAAAAAATTAAGAATTAAGCAAGAGAGTGAGTGAGTCTTGAGAGTTTTTAGAGCTTAAAGAAAGGAAGGAAGGATTGATATTTGGTGTTGCTCTAATATCGGCTTAGAGTGGTGATACTTGTTTGGAGACAGCAGCAGATACCGGTGAGTATTCTCACTCTTTCTAAAACGATTTTAAAAACTGAGAGTATGGGAATATGTTCAAAAGACACTAAACACTTGATCACTTTCTTGCAAAAATTGTTGAAATATCAAATGCATGTCGTTGAATGACTCGGTGGTGTATTTTATTGCCCCGAGAAATGGGTTTGACTTGTTATTAAGTCTGAAATAAAGCTGATTATATGATTGATTAAGTGAATGTTGAATGTTCCGATGGTGTTTACCACCTTGGCAGAGTTTGCAATGTTATTGTTGAGTGTAATCCGGTGGTGAACTTCATCACCCCGGATATTACTTGTGCATGCAAGAGTTAAGAGTTGGGCCTTGTCTTGGTTAGCGAAACTAAACGAGTCAAGTATCGGGCTTGGTTGGATAATTAGTTACCTTGGCTAGAGTTATGATGCTCATGAGTCATCCAGAGTTGGTACTAAGGAAGACATAAGGGAAAGAGTTATAAAGAGTTAATGTTTGGCTAAATGCCAAGAGTTGTGATCTGACTTGGGTTCATCGTCTACTATGCCATATAGGCTTGAGATGGTCCCTTCTCTTGATCCCCGTATCCACTCTATTTTTATTTGATAATGCTAAGGAGGTGTCTGGTTCAAAATTTTGTATGGGTTTGGGAATGTCATTCATAGTCTCACGGATTGATAGTGAAGACTATAAAAAACTCTAGCTTTCATTCAGCTGATTGGTTCAAGTACATACTAAAATGGGAATTGTTATAAGATTACATTTTTATCCTTTCAACACCACCAAAACCCTTCCTCAATCTTCTTACTGCACATCCTTGTTGCTCCAGCCGCCACCACTTTGTCTCCTCCCAAAAAAAATTATAATAACACCAAATCCAAATCAAACATCCTAGTCCAATTCACTATGTGTTTATTGAAGATATCTTAACCTACTCTCTCCGATAGATTTTCTTGGTATTCATCGAAGCGTAGTAATTTGTAGCTGAATTGAACAATTTTGAGACTTCTGAATAAGTGCAGAGTCGAGGATTGTCACAACCAATATCCTTTATGCGCAATAATTGAGGTCAGCGGCAGGAGTAATTGAAGTCGGTGGCGTAAGAAATTCCGGCTATTCGGAATCTATTGGGATAAAAAAAATGATAATTGCTATAAGGGTCATTTGCCTTTGTTGTAAGAGTGATAAGTGGACAAAATATTGTTGAAACGCCTAATTATACTTATGAATTTGATAGTCAAGATTTTTTTGAAGTGAAGCTGATTGTGAAGTGGAGAAGCTTGAAGTGTCGTTAATGGCGGAGATGAAGAATATGCGGGGAAAACCAGAAAAGTCGAAGAGGGAGAGAGAAATAAGGGGCAGCCTAGGGTAAAAAAAATTTTGTTCAATGGTAAGCTATCATTCCCCTCGTTTTGATTGGGAATGGAAAATGGCCACTTTTTTGGGTTTGAAAGTGGTGTAAGTGGATCCCTATCTTTAACCAAGCAGCAGAAAATAGCATATTTGGAATTCAAACCCATAGAATGGGATTCATACCATCCATCCAGACACCTCCTAAGTGTTTTTATTGTATACACGTTTTATTAATTTTATGTGAAACTGTTTTACAAGTGAATGATATTTCCTTTAAAACTGTTTTATTAAAATTATTGTAGTAGTGATGAGAATCTCATTGAGCTCGGAATATATTTATGTATTTCCCCTTCCCCTCCCAAGAACACATTAAGGGATATGCTGCTATCAAAGGAACAATATTTTCAGGAAACTTGAGTAGGACTTGAGATGATCTATACCTCTGCTTGAGTTTAGAATACCTAGTAGGTTGAATAATGTTGTTGTTAAGAGCTTGTTCTCTGATATTATGTGGAGGTAAGGTTTAGTGCAGAATAAGTTAATGTACTAGTTGAAGTTGAGGTGTTGTCCTCTTTTTAATAATAGTTTGGTTTTATTTAATCTTCTGCTGTGCAATTAAGTGTTAGTGCGCCTTAGGCGTGAGCTTGGCGAACATCTCGGTGTTGCTAGTCTGATTTGTCTTTCACCTTGGATTTTTAAAAAGAAAAAAAATGTTTACACAGAAACAGGCTGGTGAAACCCCGGGGTGTTACAACACTAATTTATGTTTAAGTGAGAAAATCTATCTTATCTTTGATACTTGCTAGTGAATGATTGTAATAAATCAAATCATTCAATTTGTGAACACATTTTGTGATTCCCCTTTTTTTTTGTTAACATATTAATTCAAATGGACTCACCTCTAAATTTTTCGAGAAAGTTTTCGATGAAAATTGTTTCATTTATTTTTTTGTGCAATGAAAGTGCATATTTGTTGCATCTGAAGTAATTTATTGAAATGGTGCCTGTAATTTTATCAATTCATTCACAAAGCTGAAATTATTATTCCATGTTTGTTTTTCATCCGGAGTTAGTATTCACTTAGCAATGCACTTTGTTAATAATGATTTCTTCCTTTTTTTTATTACTAAATAATTTCCCCTAATTATTTAAGTGTCAAAACTATCATCAATTTAACTCAATTCTTAATTCCTTTCTGGGATTAGGATAAATAACTTTAGGATAATCGTAAATAGGTAAGTTACTTAAAGTCTTACTTAAGGGATGGGTCCAAACACGTGTGTTTGCAAGTTTTGATCTTCACCCCAATTTACTTAATGTTTACTATTGCACCTAAATATAATACCCTTCAGTTCTAAAATGATTATTCAAAATCTCAAATTAATACTACAAAATCATCATTCTAAAACGAAGAAAATATAAATTTTTGCCTTTTTCCTTAAAGAAAAAAAAATAACAGGCCAATATGGAGTTGTTTGAGCAAAAGTTGTCACTAGGATTGTGGAAAGGAGGAAGAAAAATATCCAAACACAAAATCAAATCAGGACTGTGGATGTGTTCGAAAACTGGCCTCGGATCTAGAATCGAGGACTTAGGGTTCACTTTGGTTTAATAATAATAAGAAAAAATATGGAGAAGAAGTGAGACAAGCTAAAGTGGCCTTTGTTTGATTAAATTGGGGAGAAAAAGAGATATATAGTGTTGACAAGATAGACAATCATGTGGTGCTTTGGTTAAAAAATTACCTAGAAAAAGGAGTAAAGAGTTTTTTTTTTTTTTTGTAAAGCAAAATATGGAGATCGGATTTACAAAATCCGAACTACTAATTAAATTAGTAAATCAGATTTTGAAAATTCGATTGAATAAAATATTTTTTTTTTCAGAAAATACATGTGAAAAATAAGAAATGAAGGTCAACTAATGAACAGTGAAGGGTCGGATTTTAGGAATCCGACCTTCCTTATTCTTAAAAAAAAATAGGCGGGAGATTTGAAAATTAAGAACAATAAAGGGTCGAATCCGACCTTATTTAAGAATACCTAACGGTAGATATCGGCATTGAATGGATGTTATTGGCAGGCAGAAGGTCGAATTCTTGAAATCCGAGTTGATATGTAAATCGGATTTTAAAAATCTGACCTTTCTTATAAACGCGGATTTCACAAATCCGACCTTTTGTGTTATAATGGGACGACGAAAAACACTATTCACAGATCGGGATTTTGGTGAATGAGGCGATTTCTTGAAGGAGGCGATTTTAGTGGCGATTTGAAGATTTTGTTCACGATTCTTCGCAACGGATGTCTTAAAACCATTTCACAAAAAGGTTAGTGTTTTGATGTTTTTAGAATTATTGTTGTTGTTTTCTTTGTAAAAGTGTAGAACTAGGATGATTTATAAGGTTTTAGAGTTGATGTTGGGTGTAGTTGATTATTATTGTTGTATACATGATATTGAACGTTCAATTTAGTAAAATGCTTGAATTTGGCCTAAACTTTTGAATTTGTAGGGGGTTTAGTATATTTAGTGTTGATTATGCCTTGTTTGTGGTAATTGTTATAATAATTTGTTTGATAATGCCTTGTTTGTGTATTTTTTTAATAATTTGTTCACAATGTGTTGTAACTCATGTAATCAACAGATATAAATGGCGTTTAACGGTCCATATTTCATTAATGTCTATTGGTCGAGCAAATTTGTTGTGAAGAATGAGATTGTGAATACTTTTAACAGCATGCCGGACGATTCCTTTGTGATTGATCATAAGGTATTGTACAATGATTTGGTTGGATTGATTTGTGAAAGAGCGGGGTGGAATAGAGGGAATGTGAATTTGAGTCTATCGATTTTGTATGATACGATGGGCAGTGGTTTTAGGCATATCGCCAAAATCAAGGACGACGTATCGTTGCAAGTGTTGTATTTCCTCCCAAATTCGACATATATTAATTTGTATCTGGATTTGGAGGTGGTGGGTACTTCTAGGTCCCATTTTGGAAATAGGGACAAGTAGTGGTGGGCCGAATGTGGAGAATGTCAATTACCTGGAAGATGATGATGTGGGTGGACCGAATATGGAGGATGGTGATCACATGAATGATAATCACGCAGAAGATGATGAGGACTACACATCGATAAGTGATCAAAGCGATGAAAACCAATCAATATCCGAAGGAAGTCGGGAGAGTGATGAAGAGGTCGAAGACAGATTCGCCACAAAGAACAAATTCGCTGATGTAGCCTTACGGGAAAATCCTGGCCTCGGTAGTAGTCTAGAGGATAAACTCTTGCAAATCTTCAACAAGAGTTTCAGTGCCCGGACTTTGGGCCCACATGATATGAGCACTCAGAACGATACTAAGGTTCTTCAGAAAAGACCACCGAAGTCAAGTCAACCTGTTTTGCTCACGCAGAAAACAACATCGAAGCCTACTGGAGGAGGAAGGAGGAAGCGACAGGGAATTTCAGATCGAACAATCATAGTTCATCCCAATCCAACTCCGATGCAAGAAGATGATGAAGGCAATGAAAGTGATGAGGATTACTACATTGGGGGCGAAGGAGGAGAAGAAGAAGAAGAAAAAGACGAAGAAAGAGTTCCCTCCACCTCGTGTTTCTTCCCAAAAGAAAAAGAAAACGGTCGAGGTTCGCAAGAGTGATAGGGTTAGTAAACCGGCCAAGAAGTATACTCCCGGCTCCGGGGCTAGAGGGAAGAAAAGATCGTCCAAGTAATTTAATTGTAGGACTCTTTAATGTGTATTAGAAGTTATTTGGATTTTTTTTATGATTTTACACTCTTTAATATTTGTTAGTTGTAATTTGGATGATTTTGGAATTTGAATGCTTTTGAATTTGTTAATGTTTTGTGTTTCGAATGTGTTTATAGGTAATTTTATGCGTAAAATTTGGTTTTCGTGCTGTTGTGATAGGTTGGGATTGGTTTAGAAACCATTCCTTTATTTTTTTATTGCTCCCTGTCTAAGGTCGGATTTCTGAAATCCGACTTTTTCTCTATTTTACCAAGACATCGGATTTTGAGAATCCGAACTTACCTTACACGGATTCTCAAAATCCGATATAACCTTACCCGGATTTCAGAAATCCGATCTTTCCACTGTTTACCAGTAAATCGGATTTCTAAAATCCGACCTTGGTCAAAATTTCACTTCCAAAAAAAAAAAAAAAACTAAGTGTTTTTCTTCAAAATATTATATTTTAATATGATAAGGTTGAATTTTGAAAATCCGTCCTTTTCTTAATCTTGATTAATGTAGTTAATTTTTCGTATTAAGGAAAGGTCGGATTTTGAGAATCCGATTTACCATAAAAATCGGATTTTAGGAATCCGATGTCGGTATTTTTCTCTTCTCCAAAATTCGACTTATATTTCTCTCTTCTCCTACTTAATTGCACTCGGATCTCCAAAACAATAGGAAACCAATTGTGTACGAATTGTACTTAATCCCCACATGCAAGCCATGCAAATACTTTAATAGAGCCTCGTGGAATCATTCCCTTCAAATAGACTAATTAAAATATAAATCCATGCCTAACTTGCAAGAGTTCTATTAATACTGTTAACTGCAAGAAGCTTCCATTTTGCAGCCTTCACGTGGGAATCCTTCACCAAATCAAACATCAACCGCTTTTGATAACCTCGGCCAGCATCAATCTAAATAAATAGAATTAACTCCAAATATTATCTATAAAATGTAGGAAACAAGCCCACCCGGATAACAATTTACCAATCCTTCTTTGATTTGAAGACAATGACCAAATTGGCCTACCAAAAAGACTCGAATTAATTTTGGGGTCCAACATAAAGTCCCCCGAACGCTCATATTGAATGAAATAAGATGTGAGCGTTGAAAAATACAATGTCACCAGAAATAAGCATTTGGCATAGTACTAACATCGACATAGCACCAACCTGCTAGAGAAAGGACATAAAACGGCACCCATGCAAAATGAGGAACATGATGATTAAAGTGATGCGTATGCTTACTTCACCGAGATGTTGGATGTCTCCTTTGAAAAGCACTTATTGTGCCTGAACTTTTTGACTGCGTCGACGTCAAGTATGGTTGCCAATATTGCTGCGGCGAACCTTATAAGCTTGTTGGAACTGACCCTTATGTGCAGGCAAACTACTATTCTGGAACCCACTATCATTCATAACCTCAGAGCTCGATGTGGCGCTGATACTTTCAACAGTTTCCTTGGTTATCGACTAAATGCAACCCTCAAAATGTAAAGGAAACACATAATTCTTATCCAAACATACCTCGGGTTGAGCACCAAACTGAATAAACCTCGGTTCCATACTGTTGCAACTACCATCTGTAGCAGAACCCTCTTGATGGCCATTGGCCTTATCATCGACAATCGACCCTGCAACAATAAACTCTTTCTCATGGTCGGCCACACATTGGATAACATCACTACTAATCTTGGCCGACTCACTACTAAAATTAGCATCGACAACCTTGGCCTCAAATACTCTAATTCTGCTAGGACGCATAGCTAAAGGTGTAAGCATCTTTGACTGAGCCCTTGCAGAATGCTTCGTTTCTCGGCCAGTCAAGGATTTCAGCAACTCACGATCTTTAGCCAAATCAATCCGCCATCCTACAGGAGAACTATAATCTAAATAAGCATAATTGCTGTCGCCATCATCAAAATCGATGTCGTACAATCAAGGACAATCATCGACTTTTTCTGCAAAGTGAAAACCATGCGATATTGACTTCCCTTTACTGCGCTTGCTTCTTCTGTTAGCACAACCTCTCTTGTCATAAAGCCAGGCATGATTAGACTTCTGATTAACCGGCAATGAATCTATCGCATCATTGACCAATTCAGCACTACTGTTGTACCGCCAATCTTTGAAGCCATCATCAGAAACTCCAACCTGTTGGTCTGCTGCTGCTTCTTTTGGAACATCAGCAACTAAGCATTGCACTGGTCCAGCTGTCACATATAAATTGGCATCAACTACTGCTACTTAGCCTTGCTCCTGTTCACCCTTGATTTCGTCGACACTTGGAGACACAGAATTATCAATTGCAGGTGTAAAATTGTCACAGATGTCATAAATAATCTCCTCGATATCACTGTCGCTGCTAGAAGACTCGCAAGATTTCCTGCAATCAACTTCGCTAGACTCATTTTCACTAATAACAGATTCATTAGACAAACAAAACGAATAAGTATGCTCACAATGCTCAGTAACAACTATAGTTTCAATATTCGACAATGATTCACTCGCTGAAACTCTATTTAATTGCTGCGACGCCTTTGTTTTGCAGCGACAAACACTTATTGAGGGTTCAAACTTTTTATATAGGCCTTCCCTAAGCTTGCCATATTCAGCATCAAAATAACTATATAGCCCCCCGGGTGTCGACGATAAATCTGCCACAACATTTTCTTACAACTAATCTACTGTGCGAACTAAGCTTTTACTTGCTTCCTGCATCTGCTGAGTTTGTTGTATCACCTGCAGATTCTGTACCCGCGGCACTACCTACTGTAACTGCAACTGTTGCAATGCCTGCATAATCTGTTGTTGTGCCAATGCCTGCAGATTCTGTTGCTGCAACACTTCCAAATACTACAGCGGCATGACATGATGATACTGTGCTGGCAACGCTGCTTGCTGATACTGTGCCAACAACACATATTGTTGCTGTGTCGGCAATTGAACTTGCTGATGTTGCGGCGACAGAACCTGCACTGCTTGCGCCTACACATGAACTTGTTGCTGTTGCAGTGATAGAACTTGCAGTTGTTGCACCTGCATCTAAACTTGCTGATATTGTGGCAACAGAACCTGCGGTGATTGCACTTGCGACAGAAACTTGCTGATTTTACGGTGATAGAACTTGGAGTTGTTGCACTGGTATCCGTTGCACCCAATTTTCACCAACTGGCGTGTTCTAAAAATCATGTGTAGCCACTGAAATACCAACAGCAGCCAGCCCCCCGAATCTTGATGGATCTTGCACCATAGACCCGTCACGCCATCCGTCGACACAACTAGATTGCTGTTTTGTGCCATATTGACTATAGGATTGAGGAAAGCGGCCATCAAGGGTAGCCTGCCACCCGATATTATTTTCAACCCCCAAAGAATTATATCCTACATGTAGAACTACGAGTTGTTGAGAGATATGCCTACCAAGTGGTGATGGACTATTAGAATATGAAGATTGGTGATTATTAGGTGACGTATTATATGAAGAAGAAGTATAGATCGGATCCCTAGGGCTACTAAGACCATACATATGTCTATTAGAATAGTCCATAATAAGAAAGAAAAATAGAGATTTTTCTTAAAGAATTTTTTTTATTAGAAGAAAGACCACCACGATGTAAGAATCAAACAAAAGCTTGTCCCACTAGGCGTGCTATTTTTTATGTTTGGGCAAAAATTGTCACTAGGATTGTGGAAAAGAGGAAGAAAAATGTCCAAACACAAAATCAAATCAGACGACTGTGACGTGTTCGAAAACCGGCCTTGGTCCTAGAATCGATAACTTAGGGTTTACTTTGGGAGCATTGATCTTGAGTGTCTACGAATGACTCCCCCTGATGTTGTGAAGTAAGTTTCGGTTTAAATATTTTTTTTTTCAAAAGATATGGTATTAGTATCTCTATGTCACCTGTTTTCTGTATAGGGATTTTCTATTGAGCATACATGGGATTGGGTTGAAAAGTGCTGAATGTGTGCGGCTTTTGGCACTTGAGCATCACGCTCTTTCGATAAAATTTTATGATCCTTGTTTTTCTTTTTCTTTTTTTTTAGGTGAACCAGGGCGGTACCTGGCGGGCATCCTCTGATTTTATTAATAAAAGGTTAAAAAATACAAGGGGCAATACTTAAGACTAAATATAAAGGAAGAACCGTTATACAAAGATTTTCTAAAATTCCCTAACAGTTCTGGTACAATCTAAAGCTAAGAATTATCTCACAAAGATTTTCTAAGATCCTATGACAGTTCTATCTTGTAAATAAAATAGAAAACTCCTAAGAGATTGCTTTACATAGATCTCGCAGGAATCCCATAGCAGCTCTGATAATTACATTGAAAAAACTTAACAAATAAAATCTAACTATTACAATTAGAAATTATCTGAATCGCAAATATGGAAAGGATCTTTGATCAAGGTAGAGTAGGCCTCTTACCTTGAAGGGGAGCGAGTCACATTCGAAAAATTCCAAGGAGGCTCCCTCCAATCCAAGCTTGGCAAGCGCATCCGCCACCGTGTTTATTTCATGATACACATGTGTATAGTGATAGTTATTTCTTAAGATGATTGCACCTATTTTAGTTAAAGTATTTGTGTATCTCCAAGGAAAAGATTTCCCTATACGAAGAAGATCAATAGTGACTTTGCTGTCACTTTGGAGAAAGACTCCCCTTAAACCTTATCTCTCACAATAACAAAGACCTTCCAAGATTCCTGATATTTTGGCATAGAGACTATAATGGTTCGCGATTTATCCACAAGTCGCCTTTATCAAGTTGCCTTGATCGCCCCGAACTATGTAGCTCCATCCTACTTCTCCTGGACTACCTCTAGCTGATCCGTCTGTATTTGGAATAAAGCACCCCGGATCCGAAGGCCTCCAAGAAACAACCATTATCAACCTCTT